AATTGGAACCTGAAAAACACATTTATCTATGAAATATGTTCAACTAGACTTATTTGTGTTCTCATTGCAAAATGTTGACATTCCTAGTCAAGTTACGGCTGAGAATGCCTCGCTCTTTTAAGTGGAACAACATTGTAGAACCAGATCTACATGATTTTGCATGATCACACTAGATATTAAATAAGGGCAGAATTATGTGGCAATATTGGTTGCTCAGGTTGTTAGTTATAATAGGCAAGTCTACAAAACTTGGTATGTAGCCAGTCAACATCTGTCCATAAATACTAAATCTTGTATTAGGTGAAAAGCTGGTGTAAGCTTTCAATTACCATGACTTTCCAATCCTAGAACATACATAGTTAAAACATGTTTTTATACTTAATACATCACATTACTACCATAATAACAGTTTTACATAACAATACAGTAGCATCAGTTGCTAATGGAATAACAAATAAATGGTAGTGAGCCCTTTCAGCTACAAAGCCAACAATGCCTTTGTCTTAACTCAAACAAGCCCATGACAAAACATTGATATCATTACAGTATTTTGCATGGTAATTTATTTAGCCCTTCTATTGGCTCCGACCTTAATTAGCAAGCGTATTAATCTCTATTGTTCGAATGTGACTGTACAGCATAGTTTGTCAATTACTGTCAACCATAACTGAGGCGGATGGGTCTGTATTTAGAAAATAAGATAAGCTTTATTGATGTTCTTGTAATTCCTGGTGTTCACCAATAGAGGTTAACAAAGGTCAAGTATTGCTTAATGCTCCATGTGACAATACATTTCTGTTTGATTCTGTTTCCAGGGTCACAATGTGAACGCTCTGACTATAGACCATGTGACACCCCTTCATGAGGCCTGTGTTGGAGACCATGGCGCTTGTGCAAGAGCTCTCATTGAAGCAGGGGCAAATGTAAGTCACGTACTGTCCTTTAATGTAGCTATGCTTCACAGGTCAAATATCATTTATATGGCTGAGGAAATCTGGGGAGAAGTAGGCCCAACAAATGAGCAACGCTGCTCTTCTTCTACAGTCCCAGTAGAGCTATTAAGTTGTTGTTCCCCTTCAACTCTTCCCCCATGCTGTTGCTATTAGTCAACTGGTGAGGTTAAACAAGGTCTAAATATAACCATTTAAAAACATGTGTTTACAGGTCAATGCTTCTACAATTGATGGAGTCACACCGCTGTTCAATGCCTGTTCAGTGGGCAGTGTGGCATGCACTGAGATTCTTCTGCAAAATGGAGCAAAACCCCAGAGCCTTATATACAATCCATCACCAATCCACGAGGCCACAAGCAAAGGTGTGTTGCATTACGACAGAATGCATTAACTAATACAGTATATCAGGTCGTTTTTTATTGACTTTTTAAATATAGTGTATATCTAAACAGTTGTTCTGCTGTCACAAGTTCAGGTTTAAGGCAATACATTTACGCAATTAACTAATATTAGATGTATCTGTCGTACCAAAATACGATTCATTTCTACTCATCCCAGCTTATCCTGTCTTTCAACCAGCTTTGTGTCCTTTGCTGTGCTATAAAGCACTTTGTAACAACCTGCACTGTGAAAAAAAGCTTTAGAATAAATCCCAACGTGACCCGAGCAGACAGCTTGGAGAATGATCTTGCATTGTCACTTACTGATTACTGTCTTCATGCTCCATTACTTCCAGGGCATTACGGCTGTGTTGAGGCTCTGGTGACTTGGGGGGCAGATGTGGACATGCACATTCCTCACCTGGGCACAGCGCTCTATACGGCCTGCGTCTGCCAAGAGCTGGAGTGTGCCAGGAAACTCCTGAGGGAAGGTCAGCTCGCAGCTCTCTGTGGATCTTTGCATATGCATATGTCCTGTATGAACATTCTCACACAGAAACACAAGCTCATTTATTCTGCTCAAAAAGGAAATAAACACATGCATGTGCACTGGATTTTAAAGACCTCTATAAAAGCATTTAGACCATGAAACTCAATGTGCCTGCCAATACTGCTGGCTACCTTGGACTGAATAAAAAAAAAAGGCACATACATTCTCACAGGGCTGTTTGAAAGTAATTTTCTGGGAAATGTTGGAATTGTTAGGTAGAGGGCAACAGGGGAAAGCAGTTATATGACATGTTAAATAAGAAAATAGTCACAAAAGTATTTCTGGGTTACAATGAAAAACATATTTTGATTTTGAAACAGCGGGCGTGTTTGACGTTGAAGCTTTTCCATCTCAAATGTGTCTAGCATGGATAATCAAGTTGTCTTACACACAGGTGCAAGTGTACAGAAAGGCAAATACCTGGATTCCCCCTTACATGCAGCTGCAGAAAAAGACTGCACAGCTGTGGTGAAGCTGCTGCTGGAGTTTGGTGCAGACATTAATGCCAGGAACTCAGATTGTCAGAGGCCAGTAGACGTGGCTCCACCCAGCAGTCTAACAGAGGGATTCCTACTGATATACGAAGGTACAATCACTCTTTTTTGTATACAACTACACACCTATGTTAACGTATAGTTTGCCTATTTGTTGTATTTATGTTTGTGTTTAAACAACTACATCAAATTATATAAAAGTTGTAATTTATTTTTTTATTTTTTATCTCAGCTCGACGCATGACAGTGCTGAAATGCCAACTTAAAAGGGCCGTATTATGCTCATTGTCAGGATTGTATTTGTATTCCGGCTTCTACTGTGACACGTTTTCATGCTTTAACGTTCAAAAAGTGCTTTAGAGGGAGAGAAACTCCCTCTGGTGTGATCTTAGGGATTTCAGGCTTTGCAAACCATTTACATGCACACAAACCTATATAACACACTACAGGAAAGGGAAAACCCAGAATAGCATAACAGGGTTGATTATTTTCTTTCAGGATTCTTTTGGAATTGTTAGGACAATCTAATATAAATGCTTCATTGTCTCCTTTTGAATAGCTACGCCTCGACTGCTGGGCCAGATGTGTCGTCTGTGCATCAGGGACTGCGTGGGTTGTGACAGACTCCATCTTCTCTCCAACCTTCCCCTGCCTTATAGACTGAGGAACTACCTGCAGTACAAATGACAGGCAGTCAAAATGGGACTGGCAGAAAAGAGCCTTTGTCATTGAGTGCAAATGAACTCTCCCTATTTTTAATTTTAGCTAGCAGTTAATTGGTCACTGAGTATCTGGCAGTACCACGCTGTGTCGAGCTAGCCTGCCTATGTGCTTGTGGAACTGGATGAATGTAAAGCAGGGGGTTAAAAGAGTCCGTGGCTTAACCTTCCCTGGATACATTATGGTTAAAAGGTATTATTTCACATGTAGGTGTGCCGTGAAGATGCCCTAATAGTTGCAATAGCTACCAGGGAGTGATGCACTTTTGAAACTTTACATGAATATGATGTCGGATAAAGACATAATGTATGTGAGTGAGTATTCATAGGTAGGCATTTGAGATATAATGCATTGCACACTACTAGAAGATTACAGATTCAGATTTCTGAAACCTGGTGCATTCCTAAATAAATTATGTGTTTTAGTCTGTGTTGTTAATGCGGTCTGACTTAGAGCGGCAGTGTGGGAGAATTAATAATGCAAACATTTTAAAAACAAAAATAGTTGACATGTCTAAGCCTGGATTACTGAGTAGGCTACTGATAACTGGAGGTGGCTGACTTTTCGTTAAATCCCAAATGGAAAATGAGGGAGTGGATCAGCAAAAATGTCTATTGCTGAGACAATAGCTAGTGCCACAGTTAAATAAAGCTGAATAAAGGAGCAGCATGAAAACATAATAAATATTCATAATATTCAGCCTCAGAGTCTCACATTTTGAAATAGTTTCCATTTTGAGGTTGTAACATAGGTGTATTCATCTGTGGTGGAAGAAGTACCCAGATCTTTCCACAGTGTAGAAATACTCAAGTGGAAGACATCTTAAGGCAGGGGTGTCAAACTCAAGGCCCGTGGGCCAAATCTGGCCCGCAACCTCATTGTATGCGGCCTGCAAGAGCTTGCAAATAATATTATATCCAATGCAATTGGTGTAATTGTTGAATATTTGCTTTCAATTATTTGCCCTAGACCTCTGCTTTCAGACGTAGTTATTACCAGAACTGATAATAATCCAATGCAGAGCCAATAATGTAATATAATACATTATTTAATATATATTATATATTTATATATGTATATTTATATAGAGAAGCCAAGACTGTGCAAAGCTGTCATCAAGGCAAAAGGGGGGTCATTTGAAGAATCTCAAATATAAATCATATTCTGGATTTGTTAACACTTTTTTGTTTACTAGATAAATCCACGTGTTCTTTTATAGTTTTTATGTCTTTAGTATTAATCTAATGTAGAAAATTATTTAAATAAATAAAAACCTTCGAATGAGAAGGTGTGCCCAAACTTTTGACTGGTACTGTCTATTTATATAGTTACAACCGGCCCTTTGAGTGTAACCATAATGCTGAAATTGAGTTTGACACCCCTGTCTTAAGGCATCTAAAATGTTACTTAAGTAAAAGTAGAAAACTAATAGCATCAAACTATACTCAAAGTAACTAAACTAAAAGGTAGGACTATGTAGAATTGCCATTTTTATCAAATTCAGGAAAAACTATTTTTATTTTGCAGCTGGAAAAGTTGTAGATTTATTTAATGACTGTTTATAATTAAAATGTATCAGTCAATTACATTTTTTAAATACAAATATGAACCTGCAAAGTAACTATTAGCTAATCTTGTCAAACAAATGTAGTTAGTCAAAGTACAATATTATTTTCCAAATTGTTGAAAATACCAAAATAACTACTCAATTAGGCTACAGTACTTGGTTACTTTCCACCACTAGTAGGCCTATTAATCATATACTGGTATTAATGCAATTCAGTATAATATCAAGGTCTTATTTTTCTAATCAATATATTTAAATTAGTAAAATTATTAGATTGGAATTAATTTAAAACCTGTATAAATGTAACACCCTCTGAAGGGCCGTAAACAGTGTCGTGTTGTTGTCATGGTTATACAAACAAAGAACGATCACGGCGTCAAGCTGTAGCGGACCTCCACTTGCATAGAGTAATTTACAGAGTTAGCAGTACACAAACGGTTTACTTCTAGATTTCATCGGGCTTGGAGCATCATGTCTTACCCACAGTCTCCCAGGAAGGCAGGGATGCCAAGAGAAGTGTTGAAGTGGCTGCAGAGCCTCGAGCTGTCAGTTTATCCGAAGAATGTGCGCAGGTAACGTTGAAAAATGACATGTAATTAAACTTCAATTTAGCTAACCCAAACACTTAGCAGTGCGCAATAATGAAAACCAAATCCAGGTCAATGTATATACTTTGTAAGTGGGACACATGTAGTTGGAAAGTCCTCAGTGAAATAAGTTAACTACAGGTTAGCGTTGACCGTTGTTTCAATGGGATTCAGCTAACCTAGCTGCTAGCTACTTACCATTTAATGTAGGTAGTTGAAGTTAGCTTGTTTTTTAATTGTGACGCAAATCTTGATTAGTCATTGCATTTAAAGGATAGGTTAGCGGGCTAAATGACTTGAAATACAACCAAAAGTAACGCCGATTTAGTGGTGTAAAGTACCTAAGTACAATTTTGAGGTACTTTACTTGAGTATTTCAATATTTAGCTATTTCGTACGAGGCCTACTCCACTCCAATTCAGAGGTAAATAGTGTACTTTTACTCCACTACATTTATTTAATACATTTAGTTACTTTGCACCATTGGATTAATCATGTGAAATATAAACAACACTTAAATAAGACTTTAGTTACACTACTAGAGTAACATTCACTAGCTACCCTGCAGTACACAAAGTCATTAAAACTAGCTGCACCTTTACCACATTAATTCACATATTAATTCACATATTAATGGCTCAATAAATATAGTCAAAACATTAAAATATATTATTCTGAAATGGGTCAATTTGCATAATGAGTACTTTTATTTTTGGTACTTTAAGTATATTTTGATGTTAATTATTTGTGTTGTTTTATTTAAGTAACATTTTGAATGCAGGACTTTTACTCCTACATTCAAAATGAGTGCTTCTTGAAAAATAACCAAATCAATCCATGGCGTTAGTGAGCATTAGCTTATGCTACACAACTAACAACTCTGGATAGCTTGGTCTTTTTCACGTGTTTGACAGTTGCTCTAGTCCAGGGGTTCTAAAAGTTTTGATGAGTGAGGGCCAATTTAGGTACCCAATATTGGATTGAGGGCCGCCCAAGAAAAAACGGAACACAACATAATTCCAAAACAAATCCTTTCTTTATTGTACTAACCAATTATACATACAGTATATATTAAGAACTTGCAGAGGACACAACGTTGGATTATCTACTACAGACAGTGACTATAGCTAAAGTCGCTAGCTAACTCCCGTTTTCTGATTCTGATAACTAACAGATTTTCCGCTTAACCGCAACTCGCGAGATGCCTAGTTGCCATGATGCAACCAGTAGTCTAGCAAACTTTCCACAAGCTGTCATTCATAATTTAGGAATGACAACCCAGGGGGCGCAGTTTTACCATTCTTAAATTCCATTCTAATTCTTACTAGATACGAACCATGGAGGATTAAAATATAACGCATGCATTTCAGCGTGTCACATTAACTATCGCGGGCCGCCAGAAACATTTCCGAGGGCCGCCATTGGCCCGCGGGCCGCACTTTGAGAACCCCTGCTCTAGTCATTATGATTGAGTGACAAATACTTTTTATTTTTGTTATCATGAAAGGGCCTCACTGAGATGAAATATCTCTTTGTCCTCTTGCACCACAAAATCATGAAAAGGAGGAAGACATATGAGACATAATTCACAATGTAAGACTACATATGAATAGACAAATCAAGGATCACACAACAGATCAGAGAGAAAACATCAGTGCTTTCCAATGGTGTCCGGACAGCATCAAAGTGGATTGTAATGGTAGAATAAACTCAGTTTGTTATCTGCGCTTTTTATTTTTTATTTCCAGAGACTTTTCTAACGGTTTCCTTGTGGCAGAGATATTGTCTCGTTATTACCCCCAAGACTTTCCAGTGCATGCATATGACAACGGAGCATCACTGGCTTCCAAACAGAGGAACTGGAGACAGATAGAGAGGGTAAGAGGAGGAGAACATCTACAAATATAATGAGCTGGCATAAGATGTATCTTTGTTCTGTCGAGTTGGAATGTGGTTTAAATGTGGTTTATCTTTCCCTTGTGTAGACTACTGAATTATCATGAAAAATGAAACTACTTGAATGTGTCCAACCCACATGTTGTGATGTAGCGCAACCAAGGACACAAGAGAAAACCTTAAATATCAATTCATTGAAAGTAATCTACACTGAAGACCCATTATGATAATTTCCTTCATGTACTACTAGAGGGATCACAATCAGATGATTACCAATAGTTTATATTTTAGTCTTTACAGAAGCAGAATCTGCACTTGATGAAAGACGTCATTGATAGAAGCATCCACTGCAAACCAGGAGCAGCTGAGCTGTTGGTGCAGGAGGTTTACACTCTTCTAACTAATCAGAGGTAAGCGTTGATTGGGAGTGGGGCAGGAAATGAACACAGTTCGAGGCATAAGCATTACTACAAAAGTAACAATAAGACACATAACATCAGGCCTGGCTGGAATAGGTATGTAGCTGAGTATCATGCTGAAGCCTGTGAAGCCACCAAATCATGGGCTATGGCAGGCAGACCCAGACAAGGGTCTGTTTGAGTACAAGAAGCTTACTAATGCAAGATACAAGTATGCTATTCGCTTCATCTGTAAAAATGAGCAAGCCATGAGGGCCGATTCCATGGCTAAGAAGCTAAGAAGTAACAATGTTATGGATTTTTGGAAAGAAGTGAGGGCTAATAATAAATGCAAAATATCTCTACCATGCACTGTTGACGGAACATCTGGAACAGACAACATTGTGGAGTTATGGCGACAGCGTTATAGTACCTTATTCAACTGTGTCCAAAGTGAACTGTATAGGGTAGATGATATTGATAACAATGAGTCAATGGTGATAATTGACTATGACAATGGCTATAAACAAGCTGTCGGACAACAAAGCCAGTGGTGTAGATCATATTTCTGCTGAACATCTTAAATATGCCAGTGTAAAGATAGCTCCTCTTCTTTCTATCTGCTTTACTGCCTTTATGAGTCATGGCTTGTTACCAGACTCAATGTTGTCTGTTCTGTTGGTGCCAGTTATTAAGGACAAAGCCGGTAAAGTGGGAAGCCTAGACAACTATAGGCCCATAGCGTTAGCCAGCATACTGTCAAAAGTCCTAGAGAGAATTCTGCTGGACAGATTAGATGACTTTATTAACTCAACAGATAACCGTGGCTTTAAGGCTAAACATGGCACTGACCTGTGTATATACGCCTTAAAGGAAGTAGGTAATAACTCCTCAGTTCTTATGTGTTTCATTGATGCTTCTAAAGCCTTTGATCGTGTTAATCATAGGAAGTTATTTGTTAAGCTGAGTCAAAGAGGGGTGCCCAAATACATTGTGAGAGTTCTGGTCTACTGGTATGGCCACCAGACTATGCAAGTCAAATGGGGCAGTAGGGTCTCAGCCCCATTTGGGGTTAGCAATGGTGTCAGACAAGGTGGAATTATGTCCCCAGTTCTTTTTAACCTCTATATTGATGATCTGTCCAAGCGACTGAAAGCCTGTAATACTGGATGCATGCTTGGTAGCACTCTAGTGAACCATATTATGTATGCAGATGATCTTGTTGTGCTGAGTCCATCTAGCGCTGGTCTTCAGCAGCTTCTTGCTGTTTGTTCTGTGTATGGTGTGGAGCATGACATCAAATACAACGCCAGTAAGAGTGCTGTCATGATCTTTAGAACCAAAGAGGATAATGTCTGACATTTCCTGATTTTAAATTGTCTGATATTAATCTTAGTGTCTGTAATAAATTAAAATATCTTGGACACTTTATTACAGAACAAATGACAGATGATGAAGATATTTATAGGCAATGCCTCATGATGTATGCACAAGCAAACATTCTCCTACGTAAGTTTGGTGCATGTACAGATGGAGTGAAGATGTCTCTGTTCAGAGCATATTGCACACCGCTCTAAACGGCACATATGTGGTCAAACTACAGAAAAGCAAGTTTACGGAAACTTCAAGTAGCTTATAATGATGCCATGAGAATATTGCTGAAGAGACCTCGATGGTCTAGTGCAAGTGAAATGTTTGTGGCTGCAGGAGTCAATACTCTACAAGCTGTTTTAAGAAATCTTATGTATAAATGTATTTGCCGGCTTAATGACTGTGATAATGAAATCCTCTTGGCCTTATCGAACATAAGGTTTAGTACTACACGCTACCAATCGCAGCTGTGGAGACATTGGTATAGTTGTCTCATTGTAGGACACTGATTTAAATTATTCTTAAACTATGAATTATTTGTATGCTGTGTATGTAATTTATTATATGTAATGTCTTGTCTTTTATCTGGACCCTGAGTCTGTAATAAAGTTTTCATTCATTCATTCATATTAAAAAAATCCTCAGCTACTTATTTTGTAACCAGACAGATAGCAGTATTTTATATTGGTACATGAGAAAGTTGTTAAGGTGATGAAGCTCAAAGTATCCCAGTGTTGATGTTCTTTGCACGTTTTTTTTTACTGATAAATCAATTCAGAAGTAGGTTCCTTTTTATCATCAACACCGTACAATCTGACTTTTTTGCCATCTGGTAGGTATGCTAATCCTTAAGTCTCCCTTCTCAGTATCAGAGATGTGCAGGGTCCACAGTCAGACTTCACTGATGAGGAGTACCAGGAGCTTCTGCCCGCAGTGGCCCGCTCCACAGCCTCCAGAGCAATCAAGAACAACCTGAGGATAACGGAGATCATGGCCGAGCCTGACATCAGCACCAACCAGAGGAAGACAGAAGCCATCCTGCGCAGGCACCTGGAGCACAAGGCTGCAGAGAGGGTTAACAACCCTGGTGAGCCACCCAGATATTGGGCTTTCTGTAGGGGCATACATAATATTAGAACTTTTATGTAATATCTTTCTTTGGTTTGGGGATAGGACGATTTAAAGGGAGAGCTAATCTGGGTCGGCTGGCATCCAGAAATCTTGTGCCATCAGGCCGCAGAGATGAGTGCTTTGCCAAATCTGAAGGCACTACATCAAGTAAGTGTTACGTTTCATATTCTCTCTCAACATTAGCCAGCAGAAAATATTGATTATTCAAATAAATGCTGCTTGAATGCAGTTTTTGGTAAATCATGAACGTTTTTGCTGAGACAGCGAAATGTCTAATCTGTCTATTTTCCAATGTCTTTTTTAGAGGTGTGCTCCTCATCAACATGCAGAGGAGCTGCTGTTTCCTTTAAGGAGATAAAGGTGCACCAGCCTGTCAGACATTCCCTAATTAACAATTAAAGGAACTAGATGGAGAACATTGCTAAATGATTGTACTATTTTGTGTGTCATTTAATATATGGATGTGTTTTTTCAAAAGTTTAGCCTGTTTTGATTGTTATACCTCATACATTACTGGACTATAATTTGTTGCAAAAGACAGAGGGCGTGACTGTCTGTCATGGTTTATGTAATATCAAGGACTCAACCAGGTTTGGCCTATGTCAGTTTCTTCCAGTAGGTGGCAGCATTGAGTTACGAGCAGAGCTTACATCCACTGCTGTGCCGTATGTTGACAAAAACAGGAAATTAAATGTGCACATAATGCTTCTGCTATTGCAGCAACACTTTTGTCTATCTTGTTTCTCATTTAATTATTACTATTCCTTATTTTTCTAGCCCTTTGTTGAATAGATGTCAACACATATATGGACTGTGTCTTTATCCGGAGTATTGGTTGATGAAACACTGACCTTTCGAAGGTGTGGATGGCTAAAGGCTAAACATGTTTTATCTGTGAATATGTCTTTAAAAGGCCTGTGGTAACACAAACTGTTTTTATTATGTCCATATTTAATTTCTAGGCAATTTCTTGCGGGCCCAAGGAATACGATAATCCATTTTAGATATTCTCCTTAAGTTTTAACATATCACAATCCCACTGGTGGAAAGTAACTAAATGCACTTACTCAAGTGCTGTACTTAAAAGGTGCAGTTGATAACTGATGGCATTCAGCCTCTAGATGGCGCACTCCCCTGCCCTGTCCATTGCATTCACATTTAAACATATCAACCATTTCATACCTGTTACCATTTTTGAAATCATTTATTCACAATCTTAATATTTGTATTTTAGAAAGGGCCATACTTTTATTCTAAACATTTCTAAAAGCTATGTGGTTTTTATTGTATTTTCTATAATTGTAATATACAAATGTTATCAATGTAACCTTTATTTAAATGTGTAAGGTCATTGTTTGTAACTTAATGCTTTATTCATTTGACAACTTACGATAGAGTCACTTTGTAGTTATAGATTATTATCATAAAAATATCAACCATTAAATGAAGATACATTTTATTAGATTAGGCTCCAGCAAAATAACAAGTGATTACAATTAGCCTTACCAGCTGCAACCTTAAAGTGATTAACACATTCATTCATCAATCATTATAACTCAATATTATAAATATATGAATAGGACATTTTACACTCTCAATGAGAACCTATATTTTGGTTACTTTAGGTATATTAAGATGTGTACAATTACCTAATTAAAGTTTTGAAATCAGGACATTTACTGGGAAAATATGGGCCAATTTGATCATGGATCCTGGGTTTGTTGGATGACTTGACAGGCAGATCATCAGCGCTAGAGGCACCATATGTTCCTCCCTTTAATTGGACCACCTCCGGGTTTTGTCGCATCACTTTATCTGTGCCTTCTGTACACCAATAACTGCATATGCACATGTCTTGACGGACACATGTTGAGGTTTTTAATTATTCAAACATTGTGAGGCTGTCACAAGAGAGTAGTGTTCCTCATGGTCTGGTGATGATTAGTTGTTTTCTCCACAGTTTCTTACAACACAATGCACAGTGTAGGATTTCTCATGAAGCACAATCAAGTTAACCTTTACGTTGAAGCTAATAATGAAAATGTAATGTTTTTTTTACCTCAAAAAGCAAACAAATGTAGGAATGGTGATTACAAACGCACACTGTGTATCTAACTAACACAACAACTGCACATTTTCTTTCCTGATACATTGTCCTTATTGTGCTGTGAGTGTGCACTGAATCAATCTGCATTAACAGAGTTGTCTGATGTTGTTACTGTATATTAAACCATCTCACTAATGTGCTTCATGGTTACTGCTGGTGCTACATTAAACACAGCATATACAGTGGGGCAAACAAGTATTTAGTCAGCCACCAATTGTGCAAGTTCTCCCACTTAAATAGATGAGAGAGGCCTGTAATTTTCATCCTAGGTACACTTCAACTATGAGAGACAGAATGGGGGGAAAGAATCCAGGAAATCACATTGTAGGATTTGTAATGAATTAATTGGTAAATTCCTCGGTAAAATAAGTATTTGGTCACCTACAAACAAACACGATTTCTGGCTCTCACAGACCTGTAACTTCTTCTTTAAGAGCCTCCTCTGTCCTCCACTCGTTAACTGTATTAATGGCACCTGTTTAAACTCGTTATCAGTATAAAAGACACCTGTCCACAACCTCAAACAGTCACACTCCAAACTCCACTATGGCCAAGACCAAAGAACTGTCAAAGGACACCAGAAACAAAATGGTAGACCTGCACCAGGCTGGGAAGACTGAATCTGCAATAGGTAAGCAGCTTGGTGTGAAGAAATCAACTGTGGGAGCAATTATTAGAAAATGGAAGACATACAAGACCACTGATAATCTCCCTCGATCTGGGGCTCCACGCAAGATCTCACCCCGTGGGGTCAAAATGATCACAAGAACGGTGAGCAAAAATCCCAGAACCACACGGGGGGACCTAGTCAATGACCTGCAGAGAGCTGGGACCAAAGTAACAAAGGCTGCCATCAGTAACACACTACGCCGCCAGGGACTCAAATCCTGCAGTGCCAGACGTGTCCCCCTGCTTAAGCCAGTACATGTCCAGGCCCGTCTGAATGTGCTAGAGAGCATTTAGATGATCCAGAAGAGGATTGGGAGAATGTCATATGGTCAGATGAAACCAAAATAGAACTTTTTGGTAAAAACTCAACTAGACGTGTTTGGAAGGAGAAAGAATGCTGAGTTGCATCCAAAGAACACCATATGCAAATACGAAAGTATTACAATCCCAGAGTACTGATGACCAGAGTATAAATTGTTACACTTTGGAGTAGAATGGACATAAAGTACACTTCTCAGAGTGCACCAGAACCTCTCTTTGGTGTTGATTCTTTGTGTGGTGTTGGTGTTGACTTGTGTAGTGTTTATTCTGGGACGATGGACTCCCTCAGAGTATATCTTTGCATTGAGTCTGTCCGGTCCGCATAGATTTTAGGTTTCGATTCGTCATCAGATAGGCCGCGCCTTCTCATTGGTTTAACGCAGCCTCGTGACCCTCGGCTTTTTGAAAATATTCTCCAGGAAAAACGCGACCGTGACCGTTACAGATTGATGCAAAAGTTAATTCCATGGATCGAACACGGCAACATTTCTCCGCAGAACTGTAACGCTAGGTAAGTAGACACCAAGTGAATAATTCTGAATATTCATATTTGTCTTATTCTTTTAATTTGTATAACTAAACAACTAAACATGATAACGTTAGCAAGTATAATATTTGTGACGTTATTGCAGCGGTAACGTTAGTCGTAGTCAATCAGATTAACGTTATTCTGACAACGAAATATGTGTTTATTTGCTATTTTAGCTGCCGCTCCCGTGTTAATTGTTAGGCTTGTTAGTGACAGGCTTCATTCACACTGACTCAGGGGGAAAACCGCTCCTCTTTCCAATCATTCGACAGGGGGTAACGTTACGGAAGTGCCGCAGCGGCCTTGAATACATGTGTTTTTAATCGATAATCAACTCTAGTCTGCAGGCACCGTTTGAAATAATGAGACCGTTAACATTAGCAGCTGTTAGCTTAGCTACCGCCAATTTACGTTACTCATGTAGATTGAATGATTTCGAAGCTCTCGCCTCCCGCCTGATATAATGTTGTTAACTAGGGGTGGGCGATACCACACAATCTGGAATCGATCCGATACCAAGTATTTCAGGGCCAGTATCGCCGATACCGATACTTTTCAAAATGAAAAACGTCTTATGTACTTCCATGTAGGGGAGAGCTGCATGACATGATTTTTGAGCCGAATGCATCATAAATAGACTAAATACGAATTCATTTTCAATTAAAGACAGGACAGTTTTTATAGACAAATAAAAGTTTTACTTTTGCAAATGTAAAGTGCAAATGTGAAAAATAACAATAGGCAAGTACAAACTGCAGGAGAACAATGAATTATGTATAACATTATAACAACTTATGCATTAACAGAAAAAGTGCATACAATACCAATCTTAGTTGGTCCTTAACTTGTAACCCCTGTTGGGCCCCTGTTGGGCCCCTGTTGGGCCCCTGTTGGGCTCTGTTCCTGTTGGGAACCACTATAGGTTTTTGTTCAGAAACAATATCATGTTTACATTTTTCGCTTTCAGTACACTTCTTCTCTGGCACACTAACTGTCCTGCCTTTGAGAAAACCCTTTCTGCAGGTACAGATGATGCAAGGACTCCCATGTGTTTCTTTGCAAGCTTGCTTAGAATGGGGAATTGTTGCTCCTTATTTTTCCACCAAAGTAGGTGGTCTTGATCCCGTGGAATTACCTTCTCTTCTGCGAAGTGGCGCATTTCGATGATGACATCGCTGCCAGTCGTGCGATGATGCTGGGATGCAACCACTTCAGTGTCAAACTCTGCCCATATCCCACCTTTTGCAGTTGGTGCATGTGGGGATGCAGCAGCCCCTACAGGGGAGCTTGAGGTAGGAGGAGCTATTGCTGATGAGGCAGAGCTTGTGCTGAGGTTGAGCTTGAGGTGGTAGGTTCAGGGGCTGACTCTGAAGTGGCTGAGGTCTGGTTCACTAACTGCATGTCATTCATGAGTCGCATTTTCAATGTTTCCACTTTTCCTGTGTCGCGGAACCCAAGGTTTTTGAATCTTGTGTCCAGGAAGGTGCTGGCAGCGAGACCATAACAGCCTTCGATACCTTTGAAGCGACGTTGGCATTGCACTGACAGCTCAGCAGCTAGCTTGCTACCTTTGCGCTCATACATTCCAGTTGCTCTCAGAAGGAGTGACACAAGGGGAATCACTTTTGATACTGAAACATGTTTTTCAGTCGATATCTCCCTTGTTACCTCTTCAAAGGGTCTCAGGGCATCAATGGAGAGACTGATATTGGCCCAATCCTCATCACTCAAGCACAGTGAGCTCTTTCCAAGAAGACAGAGGACTGTGGTAACAGTTTCCTTCTGCTCACATAGTCTCTCAAACATATGGAACACAGAGTTCCACCTTGTTTCGACTGATTGGATCAATTTGTGGTTTGGGATCTTCAGCTGATTTTGCATTTCTTTCAGCCTCTCTACTGCTCTTGTGCTGTGGTGAAAGAAGGACACTATAGCACTGCATCTGTGCTGGATGTCAAGTACATCAGGAAGTGCCTTAATGGAGTCTTTTACCACTAGGTTCAATGTGTGTGCAAAACATGGATAATGCGCCCAACCTGCTTTGCGCACTGCAGCAACCATATTGGCACCATTATCAGTGACTACAGCCTGAACCTTGTCAGTTATGCCCCATTCATCAGTGATTCTTTTCAACTCTGAGCAAATGTTGAGAGCAGTGTGTTGTCCTGCAAAACTACACGTTTCTAGGACATATGTTTGCATTTGCCAGTTCTCGTCAATAACATGGCATGTGACAGTTAAATATGCCTCTGTGGCTCTTGATGTCCACATGTCTGTTGTGAGTACAACACTGTTTGCATCATCCAGATACTTCTTCACTTTTGAGTGGCATTCTTCATACATTGCTGGTCATTTCCCTTCCATGAAAGTTTTCCTACTTGGAATCTTGTAGCATGGATCAATTGTCTTTACAAAATTATTAAAACCCTCATCTTCAACCACAGAGAGAGGCTGCAGGTCCTTAACAATCATCTCTGCTAGGCTTCTTGTTATTTCCAGAGATCTTTTGGAGTCACCTAGAATTAAATAACAAAATAATTAAAGATGTTCTTATTTCGGTTGCATATTTGGGACACTTTTTGTTTTCATAGTAGCCAACAATTTAAAGTCAATATACAATAAACAATAGTAACCTAGTAGGTTACTATTGTTTTATTGTATACTATATTGACTTTAAATTGTTTTACACAGCTTATTTATTATCTTTATATCTGGCTCATTTGTTGCCTTTGTTTTATTGATAGTGTGATTGCTGAAGATTAGATTTGATTAATTTCACTACTACCGTACCTGGATATTAGGGGTGTAACGGTACACGTACCCGTACCGAAATTATCGGTACGGGCCCTTCGGTTCGGTACAGGTGTGTACCGAAGTGTACCGAACGAATATAACGTTTAACGTAAAAAAATTGAGAACGTGAACAACTTTTTGGAAGTAATCTCAGGTGCTGCGTCGCAGCATTCAGAGTAATTTGGTCACATTGGGTTCAACGCGTCATAGAGCGAGCAAGTCATTTCATTGGATGAGAGGCATACTATGAGAGCTGATCAGAGGGATGCG